TTCAAGTGCGATTCTGTTTTTCTTCAGGGCTGCTTGGGGTGTGTGGTTTGACACTCAGCTTGTCAGTTTAGTATTGTGAGATTGTGAGTTTTTTGAAGAGGGCACATCTGTGGTTATAGAAGAATAACAAGAAGCATCAGATGTTCAGTGAACAAAAGAGCAGAGCTTGGGAGGATCTTAGAAATGAATAGTTAGCAGAGATGACATGTTTTTGACCCAGAGCTGTAGAGGGCTAATGTAAAATCACTTGTTTTCCAAGATTTCAAGTGCTCTCTGGAAAAATTATCTTAATAAGGAATAAACACTTTAACTACATTTCTGGTTGTGAAATTTTATAACAAGCCAAGGATCTTAAGCATCAAAAACATCTACTTTGCTTTTTTTTTTTTTTTTAATTTAGTGAGACCCCACAGTTCAGAAAAAAAGAATGTATTCAGAAAAGTTTCAAAGTCAATCAGAGCTTTAAGCAGTAAAACTACTGCCCTTTTGAGAACAGAAGGAAGTGTTGGGACTGCAGCTTCATCCCCCATATTATTCCTTAAGACTGCTTGGGAATAGTTAAGGCTGATGGACATATAACCAATCTCTGTGCAAGAAGTAAAGTCAGACTGCAGAGGGGTGTAGGTTTAGGCAGGTTTCTGTGTAAAAGTGAACTGGATCTAAAACTTTCTCAAAAACCAACAGCCCATGGGGTTTGCAACAGTGTATGCCTTTGTTAAAGTGCAATTACTATTCTAGCTTAGCCACCTGCATTGTTATCAAAAGACTGTAATATTTTCAAACATTTTTAATCTTGGTCTCCTATACTGATATGAAATCACCCTCCCTCTTCTGTCTATGCAGGTAAAGATACTATACCAGTACTGGTCTCAGTGAAGTATTTTTCACGTATCACATGCCTTTGAGACCATGTCTTCAATTTGAAACACCCAGGCTTTTATGCACAAGAAGCACAAAAAGGTTAGTAGTCACCTTCAGGAATTTTGTGCTAAAGTGATATTTTAACATTTCAACTGCCAAAGTAACGTACCTGTAATTTGAACTACAGTTCAAATTCAGCCTTGCTGAATCAGTACTAGCCACAGATTTGTAACCATTTATTCTATTTATTAAATTAACAAATCAGAAGTGTCTTGCAAAAGGTTTTCTCCTGACTCTGGATAGCACTTGCAATACTGAGATGTTTAAGGAAAATCCTGCTCAGTGGCAAATCCTGATTAGGAAATGTTATCTTTTTTTTTTGGCATAATAGGTGAGATAGACGTGCCTAACATATGGTTGCTATAAAATACCTTAGATGAGTCAGATCTTAGCTGACAGCTGTAAGCAGGGTTGTTCTGGCTTCTTAGATAATACTACCAATTATGATCCTTTTTGTTACTTAACTACTGTACTGTTAAATTATATTAACCTGATTTGTAGACACTCCTGTTTGAGTAGAACAAAAAAGCAAGGTTTATGATGTAAATCCTGAGCTAAATGTTTGCAGCTTATTAAAGCGGAATCCAAAGTCCTTCAAACTCTCTGTAGTGATGACTAATTCTAACCAAATTGTAGGACTCCCAGGAAGCTGCTGCTGTCCCTCTAAGTGTTCAGTGCAGTTACATACACCATGAACTTTGAGAGGCTCAGAAGTGCCAGAGATGGCATTGATCTGGCTTGCAGTGGTGCAGGATGTACCAGAGCCCCACTGGCTCTGCTCTCTGATCTTTGCAAGCAGCTCCCACAGGTAATCACAGCGTGCAAAAACTTACTGAAGACTTGCCTTTAAAGTACAGGCTACCAAACCATCCTGGGGACTGCCTTCCAAGATGGGACTCCACAGAGTGGCAAGAGGAGACTGCCTTGGGATCACCCATGTGTCAGCTCAAGCCTGTTCTTGGAGAGGGGCTCATTACAGCTCTTGTCTCAGGGTAACTGCAGCATAGCACAGTAAAGCCAACAAACAGGTGGACATCTGCAGTGCGCAGGGGCCACACTTACTGCACTGTTCTGATTGATTAGCCTTCCCAAGTCTAGGACTTTAGTCTACACATTCAATTCTGGTAGCAAAGTCAGTTTTTTTTAGAACTCCAGCTTGCACCTTGCTCTACTTTATAGCTGCAAGCAACTAAGGGGGAATGAACTAACATTTAATCACACACGTCCTTACATTGCCTCAGTGGCTGATCTGCTTTCACTTGCTTTTTGAAACCAGAGTGCTCAAATGAGAGCTACTTGAAGATATGGGTTTCCAGCTCCTCCCTGCCCCCACCTCAACAAATCCTGTTTAGCACCACAAATGCCACAGTTCATGTTCTGCAGCACCTTTCAGGCATCTCCCAAAGCACTGCACACTGTGCAGAGAAGTGGTTCTAAGACGAAGAGTCACAAAAAGAAAGTTCTCAAGAGAAAAAGTCTTCAGCAATATTACTTTCTGCTTTTGCTAATGGAAGGCACACCCACTTCCTCTGACTCTAATCAGAGCACGACTGCCTGTCAGGTGGCACAGATATGCAGTTGAGAAACAAGAGGTCTTTATAGGTAGGTGCCTAGCCCTGCCTTGTATACCATCTGCTGCTAATGGAAACTTAAGATTTGCCAAAGAGAGGCTGATTCTGTGTTTTCAATATTTAATGCTCACTGGAAATGACAGTTCAGCATTACCTGCTGTCCCAGTCAGAGCACCTAAGCCCACCCACAGCACTGTGTGTTCGTACGTAACTGCAAAAATAAACAGTAAGTACGGAAAGCTTAGAGGCAAATTGCGGAGCTAGAGTGTAACCTGCTGGATGTAATTCCAACATATGGGCATTATTTTTTCCCCTAAAGACTGTCGCTCACTTTAATTCTTTTGGTTTTAACTCTTACATGTTAAGAAAAAAATCCATTAGAAATAGTAGCCATCAAAGTGAACAATAAGATCAGATTGCTTAGAAACTTAGGGTCTAAATTCCATAAACTATTACAAATTATTCCAGGGAGAGCCTGTCTACTATGGTCAACATTCTGAGATGACTTTTCTGCTTTCATTCCCCCAACAGGGATTAAGGGACAGAGGCATTACCACCACCCACTTCATACACTGTACTAAGGTAAGATTTGGAGACTCTAAATTTAAGAGCATTGGTTCTTTCCGAAGTAAATTAAGACAGGCAGGTACCTAAGGTTGGACACCTAAATTTAGAAGGTGTGAATAGCACCTTCCCCTTCCCTCTTCCTTTTTCTTCTTTCTGATGTGTCTTTTTATTCACCAGCAGTTAAAAGGTCAGTTCAGACTTCACATTCAGCTGAGCTGCTCATTCCCTCTTGCATTTTGTAGAGTCCAGGTTCTCTCAAATTCGGGGGAGAGAGGTAGTACATGGAACATCAAGATTCACAGAACCGTTATTTACCCCTAAAACCACAACAGATGTCTCACTTTTAAGCTACTCACTGAGATTGAAGAGTGATAATACGAGTGACTCTTCTATGTGTAGTGTGGACAAAGCCTCAGATGTATCTCATACATCTACCATGCTCCTTGTCGCTCCCTGCATCACTCTTTAGAAGACAGGGTAGATGTAACTTTCCAGTCCTGGCACAATTTTTATTTATAGTCTTCAGTGAAATAAATCAAGCTCTCTTCTGCTTGTTTTAATGTAGAATTTTGTATTACCATATATAAGCATAACATTTGCCAACTTTAGATGCAGCGTAATCTCTGATAATTTACAGGTTATCTTATGGCTTTCCTACTTTCTTGAAATGGTGACTATCAAATGGACCATCTGAATCCTCTGCTCTCCAAAACCCAATAAAAATCAGCAAGCATGGTCAATGGGCACAAAGAATCAAACAACAGCAGTGAAGGGTTCTGCACTAGGAAATTCAGTATTACAGAGGGCAGTGCTTACACTGACAGTATTTTCAAGACTGTGAACTGAACTTTGGTGTGCAAATAGACACAAATGCCTTTTTGCCAGCCTCTTTGGCCAGCATAAAGACTACTTTGAATAACATTGAAAAAATGTGACTTTATATGTGGTTGTTCTCTTCCTGAGATTACTTCATTACAGCTACAGAAAACTTGGTAAGGAATCCATACCTGTGCTATGCAGGGATTGTGTCACACATTCCTCCTTTGATGTGGAGAAGCTGCAACAGCATGAAGCAGGCTCTGCTTCAAGCTTTAAACTAAACTGTTCTGTTCTTTACTTAATCCATTATATATGTCAGGAAAAAAAAAATCACTGTAGAAACCTGGTTTTCCCCAATTAAAAGAAACATCACACTACATTTGCCCTGCTTATGCCCCATCTACCCTAAGGCCCAGATCCATAATGTCCCTACACAAGTTGGTCTCAGCAGCTCACGAGTCAGTCACAAAAATGTAGCGTGTATGAGATAAGGCAGAAACCACCACTGACCTGAGCGTCAACTGCCCTCATCCGCTCAGCTGAGAAGCAAAGACAGTAAGCACAGCAACAGGGCCACAAGGCAACAATCTCCTGCAAACAGAAGCAGGATGAGAAGTGGGGGAACGACACCAAAATGGACTGAGTTAAGAAAGAGTGACATCTGTTAAACGACGGATAGTTGAGACAGAAATTAGCTTTAAGCTCAAAAATGATGTCTGGTTTTGAACATTTCTGTGCAGCTAAGCTGCTACTAGACATGCTCATAAGAAAACTACACAAATGAACTTGATTTTTGGTACTTGAGTTGTCATCTTTACATACCAGTTAAAGCTGACAGTATGAAAGATCCTTTTCAGATGAGTCTACAGCCTTTCTCCCTAGTAATGGGCATATATGCATACTGTCTCCATTTATTTATATGTGTGTTACTCATGCCTAAGGGAGATAAAATCATTAAAGGTAAGTGAACAATATTCCTTCAGGGCATTTCCAGCATACTACAGAAGTCTTTTTCTGGCCTCGTGGAAGGAGAAAGGTTTTTCTGTTCTGTTAGGGCAAGGAAAAGAACGGGGGAGCTCACTACACAGAAGCTGAAGGAGAGATACAAAAATTCTGAAAGTTTATTTTTTTGAGCTGTTGAGGCAGACAGTAAAAGCAGCTACACTGAACTCTGAGAAAGAGGTCTTTGAGCATGCAACCTATTCATTCTTATTACAAGATCATACATTTCCTACACAGTAGGTGCTGAAGACCAAGCCTAAAAATAACTAAAAAAAAAAAAAATCACACCACTAAACTGACAGGAAGTGTAAAAATTTTCCAGATGTGAGCTATCACATGTAATATAACACAGTCATATTCCTGGTATAAGTATGTTTGTAATGCCTTCTAGGTATGCTCAGTATAACAAGACTGTTCTGAGGCAATCTTTGTGTCTCAAGGTAAATGTGCATGGAACAGGACAACAGCTTGCTCATCCACAGTGAAGTACTAGCTAAAAATAGAAATATATTTAACTTCTAAAATCAGAAGCAAACAGATACAAAACCAAGGTTTAAGTTCTACTCACAGTATCATACCTATTACTCAGTCTTCTACAGAAGTTTATCTTCTGGTGAGGTTTTGACCCCTCTTTCCGTATATATCAAGTAAACTTTTTCCATCATGGCCCAAAACCAACGTACCTTCTATCCAGTAACTCTCATGTATTTTATATCAGACACGCTCTGATCGCAATGGGTAATTTTTTCCTGTTGCATACTTAGAAAAATGTATAGCTGTAACTCTGCATTAAAGGTCATTCACATTCTAAATTGTTGCTTTTACAACATATACTGAACATAACTTCTCAGAACAAGGTAAGTTAGGAAAAGTCAAGCATCTCCTAAATAAAGTCGACTGCACAATGACGCTTCCAGGGAAAAGCTGCATGGGTTTCTGTGCATTTATCCTGAACATATGAAGGAACAACACAGCATTACATTAATTAAGTGTAGAGTTCCCTTGTGATGTCCAATTACAGGAACTAAACAAAGGAACAAACTCTTTTTCAAATGGAGTGGCTGTGGAGCAGCCCTGGTAGGTCTGGCTTCAGCTGTAACCAGTGCTGGCCTTTGCTGCAGACTCAGAACTGTCAGTTACAACTTTCTTCTCACGTCTCTCAAAGGACAGTGTCCTATGAACTGAGAACTATGCAGTGAACCATATTATGGAGGCATTAAGAATTACTAGTGGACTAGTTTTAAATTGCAATTTATAATCAGTTAGTGCCAGAAGCAAGCCCAAAGACACTCAGTCTAAACAACACAACTCTTTGAAATGAAATAACTACTGAAAGCCAAAAATTTTTAGTTATTAAAATATATTTTAAAGTCCAAATTATTAACAATTAGAGTCTGTTAAAAAATAACTTTTACGTAAGTTCAAAGACATCCCCCCCCCTTTTCTAGAAGCAGCAAGAGAAACAGGCTATAACTCAGACATCTTTGTGTACTGTCACAGTCATTCTTAAAGTTACTGCTCCATGCACTGGGGCAACCAGAAAAATGTCAGCAGCACTGTTCTTAACACTCCAGGCTAATATTCTTCCCCTCAGCCACTCTCTTTCCCTAATTCCTGTAGACAAACTGAAAGTTTCCAAGCTAAGAAAAAAAACAAATCCAAATTCCTTTCTACTGCTTTTAACACTCGGTTGTCAGACGATCCACATGGTAACTTCTCTTCGTGCATACCCTGAACAACTGCTGTTAAAGGCAGCTTTTCCACAAGACTTCAAAATTCTCACCCGTGGAAAGGAAATGAAAAAGTAGAAGTGCAAGTAGTACAATTCATACTAAACTATATTTTTCATTTTAAAAAAGTTCCAAAAATTGAAGGTGTTCTTATATTCTCTGTGCAGCTATTTCAGGTGGTAGATGTTAAGATGATCATGTTATTCTGTGGGGAACAAAGGATTGAGATCACTCATGTTAATACATTAATTACTTTAATGTTATAAACTCTATTTTCATTGAATCAGTTGAATACGATCAATATAAATAAGGTATTTGGTCTACATTTTTTGGCCTACCCAGAATGCAATGTTGCCTCATTAAGCAAAAAATACATATCTCTTGGCTCCATTTTATATCACAGAGACTGAACAGAACAATTTAATTGTAATAATTAAAAAACCCTGCTGAGCCTTGGCTGTTGTAGCCACACAGAATTTCTTTTTTTTTTTTTTTAAATAAATTGTAGTAAAAATTCCTCTCAAAATTGCAGTAAACCACTATATATTATCAAAAGATTAATGTGATAAGTAAGCAGCTGGCATTTACTGTAAGTGACAAAATGATGACACTCATTTCCATACCATATATATTCCTTTACTTTAAAATGTGCTTCATACATTTTCTACTCTGGCTGATACAATCTGTAGTTACTGTGCATACTTACAAAATGCTGAATAATAAAACCCCAGTATTAACTGGCTTGGTTTTATGACACACAAAGTAGCTTAAAATTGACTGACCATTCAGGTCGTCAGTCCATTCTAAATATTCTTGTTAAACTTTCCAAATCTTCATTTTTGAAATGCAGTTCTTCCAGCAGCGTGGTCAGGAACTGTGTGTACATTGGGCTTGCCTGAGGATTCTTGAGTGGAGTAGTTTCTGACAATCTGGAAAAAAACCACACGTATTTCATACAGAAGAGCAATTTTTCAGTGTCTGATGTAAAAAACCAAAGCTTGTGTGTCCAAACAACTGTACTGAAGAAAAGCAGTGTATACTGTCACACTTGATTCATTACAGTAAGACCGTACGTGTTATATAAAATGTGATCCACACCAAAATATGATTTTTTATTAAGATGTAGTGAAACAAAAAAAACCTAATTAGAAAAAAAGAAGTGAGTAGTTTGTATGCCTCTAATTGGTTGTATATTGATGTTATTTAATGCAGATAAACAAAATTCAGAACAAACAAAGTGTAAAACATTATGCAACTACACATAAAAAAGGAAAGATCTCGGTCATTATCTTCTTCTTTACCAAAAATCTCCTAAACACTCATAGAGTAAAAGCTGTATACTTCTTTGCATGAGTAAAATATAAAAGACCTATAAAATTCTGTTTAAAATGACCAAGAATAATATTTACAGTCATGCCCTGTCAAAGTTCATAAAGACTTTCAAGAAGGTCATTTCCTCGGCTGATTTTCCCCTGCTCTGTGTGCCATAAACCACAACTCAAGAGTAGCAAATCCTTTTGCTTTGTGCCAAGGTTTCTTCAAACACAGAGAAGCCTCCCCTAGAGGCATTTTGGATTATTATGAATTTTACTTGATGCACATGGGCACGAGACATCAACTAAATCCTCAAACCAAGGAACAATTTGAGTGAGTAATCGGAGCGATGTGATTTCTTGGTTCTGACAGTTTGTGTGTTCAAGCAGTGAAATGGAGAGCTCGGGCAGTTCTACCCGAGCTGGCAGAACAGAGCCCCTGCTCACGGGCTGCAGGTTGGTTTTTGCATTCTGACACTTTATCAGCGGGGAAGCAGAGGAAGTGCTGATAGAGGATCAGAGTAACCATTTCAGAGTGTTAGTCTGGAGACAAGGATAGTGAGAGAAAGACCCAGAGATGCATTATTGCTGGTCGCCAGTTCACCCTTCTCAGAATTAAGTAGGCTGTATATGAGAAAAGACTGGTGGCAGGAACAGTCGTGACTTCCTGAGTGCTGGTGCCAGGCAGCTGCAGCATTGTCAGCCACTCTCTTGGCAATGATGTAGATTTAGATGCATTTTTATCTGAATTTTCTTACTCCTGCCATGGGCTTATGAGGATGTTAACAAGGATGTTATTTTTCAAAAAGAGCAGAAAACTTGTGCAGCTTTATGTAATACTCTAAAACTAAAATCTTTATACAATGAAGCTCACACACTTTTTTTTGAAACTGCAGTTTATAATATTACATAGTTTCATGAATTACAAACATATCCTAAAGGTCAAACCGTGTTTAAGACACTGTTTAAAGAATAGCTACTGTAGCTCACACCAAGAAAGAAAGAAAAAGGTATTGCTATTGTTAGAGAAATTGCCAGGCATTAAATATTGAGGAAGGGAAGTTAAAAAAAGAAAAGACATTTTAGCTGTGGATCAATTTTTTCCTTACCTGAGCTTTGTTTAAAAACTAATTAAGTCACTAATTATCTCATAAGCAAGAGACTAAATCAACAAGTAATTTCAGAAAGGTGCAAGTTTCTAGCAATTTGTTAAAAATTTGCATCTTGATGGGACATGTTAAAAATTATGAATATATGTACAAACACTTTAATCTTGGAAAACTATGTCTTTTTGGCCTAACTTGTAATTTGAAAAGCAGTTACTGTTGAGTGCTATTCTACTTTTAAGTGGCTGTTGGAGCAGAAGCAGAAGCTTTTGTCTGCAAAAGGAGCGAGCACAAGTTGCTAATTTGCATTAAGAGGTAAGTCACATGCTCTGAGTAACACTGGTCCAATGTATATTTGAGGTGCTGCACAACAGAGCATCGAGGGGCTATTCAACTGAACCAAACCTTAATTGTATGCAAGGCAGAACAGCATTTGGGATCGGTATCTCCAAGTCACTGACAGCTACTACGGCCCTATCTCTGAAGAAACTATCACGACTAATTCAATTTAATGATACACAAGATTTCAGTTCAAAGATCGTGGAATTCCCTTGAAACTTTGCAGCATCTTCAAAAGACATAGAATATAAACAGGAAATGGGATACTATGGACCACACTAAAAACAACTACTGGCTTTGGTAACAATGAAAAGAAAAATATAAATTTTGCTTTTCTGTTACTTCTTTCACATATTGCAACATTCATCTGGAACAAGCTTTTGTGAACAAAGTCAAATAAAAATAAGAAAAGCTAAAAGATTAAGTGATTTTAAAATAACCACCTACAGAATTACACAAACATAAATGTTACAGTCCAAAATCATACACCCATTCTTCAAAGGCTCGCCTTCAGTATACCCGTTAAAAGGAAATGTTCATGCTCAGATCATGGAAAAGTAGTATATCAGAGTTGATGAAAGTGTCGTTTCCTGCACACCCACTTACACCATATGGTAAACAGGTATTTGTAAAGTTTAAAAAGTGTTAAAAATGTCAAACTATATATGATTGATAAAATTTGTATTTGCTGGCTATTCCACATATGTTACATGTTCAAGAAAAAAGCCACAAAGGTGAAATTCATGTGAAGACCAAGCAATTATCATCAAGCTATTAAATGACATCTGGCTACCGCAAAATGTTTACATAGTTTCAGTGCTTCAACTCAAGACCCAAGCTTTCTGTGAATTACTTGCCTAACAAAAACATTTGACAAGTATATTTTTAAGACCATCATAACCAGGATGACTGGTAACTACTCTTCCAACAGAATGATGGAGTTGAACAATGAAGGATCACGAAGTTTCCTGAACACTTGTTTCAGAACACGGAAATGAAAGAGGATCTGGCAGCAAATACAGGCAGCAATTTTTTCCCCTTCCCCAACAAAAACACACACACAGAGGCACAGATTACTTCATATGTGCTACAAGGGTGCCAACAAGCCTCTGACTGAGGTGCCATCAACAGACTCTTGCTACAGGTCCCTACCTGAAAGGAAGTCCAATGCATTTTTTGGTCTGTGTGGACATTACAAATCAGACTATGGCTATGAGCAATCTGTTCCTCTCACCCTGTGCAAGCATTTCAGCTGAAGATCTGGTAACATGTACATGAACACTTAACAAAAAGTGCTTACAAGCCTCCACCATCATTTCAGGTGATTCACCACAGCTACTGAAGGGCCTGGGAGATCAATTAGCCATTCCAGCCATGTGCCACCAGCACAACTCTAAAGTACTTTTGCTCCACTGCTGTGACAAAGTCACGTCACGCTGCTGACAAGGACCGAGCCAGGAGAAACAGATGACAAAACCAAACTGTGCAGGAGACACACTGGGGAGTGCCAGGGATCATTACCTGACAGTACTGCAACAAAGCATTAAACAGAATCCTATCTGAATAGAAAAACTCTTTATACTAAAAGTCTGCCAATATTCAGACACAAATGAAAAGCATTTTAATGGAAACTCAACATCAAAGTGTGTTGCTGGGATTTGGTAAGGACTGACCAGCAATCCCAAGCTTCTTTTGTGTGTGTGATCAAATGGCTCTGAAAGCAGAGCAGCTGACTGAAGTCTAAGTCTGTAATTCAAAAGCAGGGAATAGCACCATCATGTGGGTCACAGATAATGGAAGTTAGTTGGGAAGTCTGTCAAATTTCTCTTCTAAACTCACACTTGCATGGCTATTATGAGTCAATTCCAGATTTGAAAAAACAAAGTCATGAACGTAGGACAGCCCATCTTTGTGAATAATTAATTGATACTTAGAAGGATTAAGTTAAAAGGCCATCAACCCACAGAATTTCCAGCTTTCCCCCCTCTACAGATTTTTTTATGAACATTTGTATTACCTAAATATCAACTGTTTTTCAGATTTACCATTAATATACTCTTCTTCCCAGCTCTGTATCTACCATTTTGAGTTGAAATCACTAGGGAAATTGTCTCCAATTGCTTCTACAAGGTATAAAGCAATTGTTTTGTTTAAGACAAATGGCTAGACAGAGTCAATACAACACGTGTTACACATCAGCAATAAAACTCATTGAAAGAGATGTGCACTGCTCATAGACCATCTGCCTGTATGCAAACTGTAGTGCTGCCATGTATCAATCACTTAGAACAGTGCTTCATTTGATGGGGTGGACTCAAACACTTGCTGTGTCGATCCATTTCATGAATCCCTGCCCAAAGGCACTCAGACGTTTTGACAAAGGCAAAGCATCACTGTAATTTTGGATGTTCTTTACAATACACTGACTGCCACTTAAGGGTCTCTCACTTCCAGTATCTCACTGGATACAGTAGGTTTGTCTAGAGACAGCAATTTTGTTAGGAACGTATCTTAAATCACAGCAGGATTTCCACAGACCTTAAAGCAAGATGCATCCCTCAGGCCAGAGTTACCATCAGACAGAAGGCTGATTTGAAGCATGTGAGCGTAGCTGTAAGTGAAAGATTCAATACTAGGGAGCTTAAAAAATTATAAACTTTGTTATAATTAAGTGATTACAATCCCTTTGTTTTTAACACATGTTCAGAAATTAGAAAACATGACAGCTTCAACTTAGCAGTTACGTTCACAGTTTCAGTGAAAAAACCCCACTTGTTTCTAATAACTTTAGTTTGAGCATCACTGAAAAATCTCAACATTAAAAACCCCCAAACTGTTAAAAGCAAAAGACTGTCTCTAGAGTGAACATTTTCCATTAGAACACATTAATATTTGACAGACAATCTTGAACTGGAAGCATCTAACTTACAAACAAGATGCAGAAGTATTTAAATATATCTTAGGAATGAAGTTTTTTAAATTAAACTATGCTAGGACTGAAAAAGAGTAATTATGATTAGTATCATTTGCAACTCTGAAATTTAAGCAGCCTCTAATCTGGGGCCTTTTGTTACCATATCCAGTGGGTCAAAGAGGAAACCAGTATTTGGGGGCAGTTTTCTTTAATCTCCCCCAATTTATTCCTGTGTTATATTCTCTTAATAAAAGATA